CCTGGTTATCTTCACATGAACAGTCCCCAATTTAATTAATTCCCCCTTAAAATGTAACATGAGAACAAGACTGCTATGGCTAGAGGTAGCTGGTAGGAACACACCTGCCACAGTTGTCCTTCAATCCTATTGCTTTTCCTAAACTCCAAGGATTGTGCTAGGCACCAAGAATAAAACACGTAAGAATAAGAATGGTTCCAGCACTTTAGAAATTTATATTCTGACTGAGGTGACAGTTAGACCTATTCTGAGGAAGCAGCATATATGATTTTGTGGCAGATGAGTCACAGAAATAAGTATCTCATGCCCTCTGAGAAGCAGAAGGAAGGGGCCTGAAACGAAAGATATCCACTATTTCTTGAGCTTTTATCGGACAGGATAACTGCTTCCACTTCTTAGCTCCTTTGTTCCTCAAAACAGCTAAGACATAGGGACTACTTTTATCTCTGTTTTACAAGTGAGGTTTACAGAGTTGAAGTAACTTCCCAAACCACAGCTGAAACAAGGTAAAGAAGCCTTTCAATGTGACCTGTCTGGCTGCAGAGCCTGAGCTCTTTGTCTCTGGGCTATACTGCCTTCCTGGCAATACACTCTGTGGCTCCCAATGGCCTACTTCCCTGCAGAGGCTGGCATGTCCCTTCATCCTGGTTCTATAACTCTATGGACTAAGATTCCCAGGAACTCCTTCAAGATACTCCTCTTGATCCAGGTGCTAGAATATGAAAGCATGGGCAAAATAAGACTGGCAGGCTAGGAGATCAGGAAATAGCACCAGGAAAAAACTAAGAAGGACTGTGAAAAGCAAGACCAAGTATAGGAAAATTCAATCTCTTAAAGTATGGGGATTTAGTTATTTAGGTAGCAGAGCTTTCTGGATCGCTGAGGATTTGCAAACTCACTTTAAACAACAAAAGAATCTTCAATTTACAAGTGGCAGGTAGAAATATTTTCAAAACGTATTGCACATGTCTTTGCTTTCTTAGAATACCCTCCGGAAAGGACTATATGACTCAGATGTATCATGAAAATGTCATGGCTATGTTGCAACTCAGTGACATCATTAATGCTTATTAAGGTATAGATATCTAACGTATTCACTCCTACCATAAATGATTCTGGAAAACTGGTGTGAGTTTTCATACTTATGTCTGCTTTTCACTTATTTCTGTTTCTTAGTTTTCAACTGTTGCTTCTCCTTATTATTTGCTTCTAATAGGCTGTTCCTACGTTCCAACTTTAGCTAGGATATCAGATAACCAGGGTTATTAGAATTATGTGTAAAACAAGAGTAACTGCCTCTGAAGAAGTACCTGAAAGTTCAGTGCATGACTTTTACTACATGAATTTTGTGACATTTTACTAATTTCTTGAGACCTTGTCTCCTCCCTTGCTCCAAGTTCACAAGTTGAGATCAAATAGGGTAACTAAGGGTCAAATGAAGTCCCTAGGGAGACATAGTTACTCAGGATGGACTGAGAAGTAAACAACAGAGGAGAGCTTTTTATTCAACTTTAAATTGTACTATAATTCTTATAAGCTTGTGGACAGGGGCTGTTCCTTCCATCTAGAATGAAAAGGAGTGGAGGTTTCATCAATTGTCTCTTAGGATCTGACAAGCTCTCACTGACTGGTAGACTCCTGCTACTCCCCTACGGAGTTGAAAGTCAGAAGGTCAGATAAAGAAAGGTCAGTGTTTGATGGTTTAATGCCATGGATGTGTGTGGGAAGACAGGATAAAAAGAGATCTGTGGTCAGTCTTGACTCTCATAAATGTCGTTCCTCCAGGGCTCTAGAGACTGTAAACCTAAAGGATGTACTCACCCTGCTGTGCTGCAGTGTTTATGCCAGGATTGGCTCCAGGCCCCTGGCTAAGGTGTCCCCTTGCTCCGCACCAGCTCAGGCATTTCCAATCACTCCGTTTTGACTTTCTGCTCTCCCACTTGTCCTGTCCCCCTAGTGTCTCAGAGGGTGCTCTGCTCACCCTGGGCTCAGAGCCCTGACTCTGAAGTTGGGGTCCCTTTCTCATTTGCAGGTGGATCCCGCTACTCATTCCACAGTGCTCGGCCTGGTGTTGGGTGGAGGGGCTGCTGCAGCTGGGAGCCCAGCCTCAGTGGATCAGTAGCTGGCTTGGGTCCAGAGTTGCTTTGCTCTTCTGGAACAGGCACCTCTGTCCTCAGAACTAGCAGCAGGTCTTGCTCCACATCTGGAAAAGTTCAAAAGTGTTTGTCTGGGTGAAGGAGGCCTTTCGGGGGAGGGGGTTCAAGAGCATGACATCATCTGAGTCAGGTCCAGCTTCCTCTGGAGAGAGAAAAGGTCTGGGCCAGGGAGGACCAGATGGGGTTCCCAGGAATCAGTATGCTGGGGGAGAAGAGGGAGAGAGCAGGCAAGAAGAGGAGTCTTAGAATGGTGCCTTGAGAGGGTGATCCTTTAATTCAGTGTCTGAATATTGCCCCCTTGGATGAAATCAGATGAATCTGACCTTAAAGTCAGAGTAGTGAGAGGGTCCCATCTAAATAGGAAAGACACCTGGATTGGCTTCTGAATCAATTTTATTTTGATCAACCCACCTCCTGTTTAAGCCAGATGGGAGCTCATCCTTTTCTCTCCAGAGATGTGGGGGAAGAATTGTGATTTTTTGACAGTTTAGACCCAGCCTAACCTCCTTGCTGCATCTACTCAAGAGTTAGCTAAACCTCAGTGTTCCATTGCTGCTTCCCTTCATGAACTATGGCCTTCCCTTTGGGAGATACCTTGGTCATTCAGGCTCTTCATCTCTAAGACAGAGATAGTGATATTCCTTCTTCCCACTGCTTACCTGACACACAATAGTAAGACATGATTGCCGCACTCACCATTAATAGCAATCTACTTGCAGCAGGTTGCGGAAGGAAGCAGATATGAAAGAGTGAAACCCTTGTCATCACCTTTAGGTAAAGCATTCTTGGCCCCAGGTTGATGGCTGTGAAGCCAAAAGTCTAACTTCCCTCTTGATCTTAAGGGAAACAAGAGATGTCATTCTACCTTGCTGTTTACCTGGAAATTGCTGAAAAGTACAGATCTAGATCCCAATCAGGAAAATTTAGAGACAAGCTTTAGGGTGGCCTGGGACCCTCTGGGGCTTTTCCTTGAAGATGGAACTGCCTTTGTGAACTCCGGATAACAAGTTCACCCTTAACATTTACAAGGCCCAAGGCAAGAGTACAACAGAGGCCTACATACTGTATTTCTAAACATTTCAAGGTTGTAAGTCAGGCCAACTAAGTGATAAAATATCTTCTATCCTATTCCCTTGACAAACATATCTTCATGACCACTTGGAAGGCCAGGTTTGAATTTGGGATGCTCAGATTCTTGGAATTCAGTGCCACAATGCAGCTGAGCAGGAAAAGATGGCTCCTGACCCCAGCCCACTTCCCTTCTCTTCTTTCTACTCATGACTCTGGCTCACATTGCAGGGCAATTGCATGTGTGCCTGGGACACCCCACCCACAGGCTTAAGCACTAAGCACTAACTCTTCTCCCTGCAAGCAGTCATCATTTGGCCACCACTGGGCCTTGGAGGTACACACCCTTGTGCTGCAGTTCCCCTTAGCAGGATGGACTGGGAGAAGAGGACCATCGTGGATGTCAGCAAAGTGCCATTTGAGCAAGAAATACTAGGACTTCTGGTTCCCACAGTATGATCTAGAAGAGAGGGGACATCCTGATTGGTCTTCACAGGAAGCAGGACAGAGTGTGGGCTCTTTGAGGCATAGGGTTCAGGCAAGAAACTTCTCCTTCCTGTGTCTAATGATACTGACTGGGAATGGTGAGTCACATCTGTAATCCCAGAGCTTTGGGAGGCCAAGGCAGGAGGATCACTTGAGCCCAGGAGCTTAACATTACAGTGAACTGTGATCTCACCACTGCATTCCAGCCTGGGTGCAGTGGTGACAGAGCAAGACCCTGTCTTTTTTTTTTTTTTTTTTTTTTTTTTTTTTTTAAAAAAAAGGATGTATCCCAAGATATATGGAAGAGATGTGCAAGAACACTCATGAAGATCTTCAAAGAAAAATGAGATCCAAAACATTATACTATAATACTATAATAACTTAGCATTTGGTATCTCATTGATTCTCCCAACAATCCATGTAAGGTAGCCAGAAAAGACCCTTACTTAAGAGGTAAGAGAGCTGAGATACCTGCATGCACTAAATTACATGGTTAGTTATTGGCAGAGCCAGAACGAAGCTTGTCTACCTTCCCACTACATTGATGCGAAACCAGACCTTGTGTTCCCTGGTTCATTAGCTGAATTCCTAGGTCAGAGCATCCTAAAAGCTGAATTCCTCAAGAAAAGGAAAGGCAAATGGGTTTGAATACCATAAGCAAAAGGATGAGGGGAGTTTGGGAATGGGGAAGCCTGAGAAGGATAGATTTTTAAGGGGATCACATAGAGACAGTGTGAGTTTAGTGATTATTCCGAGAATTAGTATACCGGATGGAGAGTGACCAAAAAAGAGGATACAGTGAAAAGGAAAAAGAAGCATAACCTCTTGCACACTTTAGATCTTCGCAATATTTATGCAGGTGTAATTTTATACTTTAGTATGTAATTAAACATACTATGAATGCCACCTCATATTTCCACGTTGCTACAGTTTTTATAATTTTTTCTTTCTAATGATTGTTTATATGATTACGTAATGATTGTGGTACATTAAGTGCATATATCACTTATCCTGTTGTAATTCATTTAGTTGCTCACGTTTCCCTCCTATAAATAATACTGTATGATACATTTTTATGCATATAAATCTTTCCTTCCCTATGTCCTCAGGGCAAATCTGGTAGTGGGGAATTAGTCCACTGTCCAGGAGTATGTTCTTGTTGCTGCCCCATTGTCAGGGACAGCAGGGAATGTTCTAGATGGATTCTGCCTGAAGTCAGGAAATTGCATCAGATAATATCACAAGGCTGATACCTTTAGGTTCTGATTCTTCTTCCTCGTTTCCCTATAGCCTCTGGGTTCACGAGTGTCAACAACACCAGTACTGTTACCCCAAAGTCACCTACCCAGGGAACATTTTCAACTGTTTCTACAAATGTATCGTACCAAGAAACTGCAATACCTAGTACCCTCGGAAGTACCAGCCCACACCCTGTGTCTCAACATGGCAATGAGGCCACAGCAAACATCACAGGTAAAAAGAGCATTTGTGTCAGATCCCTGAGAAGTGCTGGTGATGCTTGGGTAAAGCATTTAGGATGTTTTCAGACTGCTCCCCCTCACCACAGAGGAAATTATACAAGTCCCTAGTACTAATGGCTTGAGTATCATGCGTAGGGCACCCTGAAGTAAATTCTAGATAATTCTTCCTTCAGTGACAGTTTTCTCAGGCCCATGTCTTGGGAGCTGATGCCGATCAGTAATGCCTCCATACCCCTTCTCTCATGCTGAGTTCAGCTTAGTGATAAAATAAGGATCAGATGACTCCATAGAGATCTCCGATCTCTTCTAAAGGAAAGAAGGTGGGTACAGGTCCCAACTGGGGGTCTTTGGCTTCTCTAAGGTAGACCAGCATCTATTTCAGTTTCAGGGCACCTCTAATACATTCTGGATTCTAGCTCTGGTTCCAACAGCTTGAAAGGAGTTTGGTCAGGGATGGGACACGAAGTAACTGTTAACTCCCCAAACTCCCTTTTCTGTGTTGAAATGCATGCCCATATCATGAACTAAGATTGTGTGTATGTATGAGCACGTGCACACATACACACCCATGTTTTGTTCTCTTCCAGAAACTACAGTCAAATTCACATCTACCTCTGTGATCACCTCAGTTTATGGAACCACAAACTCTTCTGTCCAGTCACAGACCTCCGTAATCACCACAGTGTTCACCACCCCAGCCAACATTTCAACTCCAGAGACAACTTTAAAGTCTAGCCTGTCACCTGGAAATGTTTCAGACCTTTCAACCACTAGCACTAGCCTTGCAACATCTCCCACTGAACCGTATACATCGTCTCCTCCTATCCCAAGTGTCATCAAGGTGGGTGAATTGGGCCAAAAATAGCAGATTGCCCCTCACTTCATATGTATGCAGGCAAGCTGTCTCTTTCCCTTCACACCTCTCCTCATCTCTGCCAGTGGGATTTGGGTCATGTCAGAATCAGCATGGAAATACACAGTTTAAATATTGTTGAGAGAAGTAGAAAGAGGAGGAAAGGGGTAGAGTTAGGTAGTAAGGCCCATCCAGGCTTCGGGTATTGCATTTTAGGGAGTAGAGGGTAAACGGGATTCTCAGAGATCCAACCAATCCTCTGATTCTTTCTAGTACCTATTGGTGGGGCTTTGACCAGGGCACCATTTCCCTTTGGGAATATTTGGAAACTATTGCTCATTTGCTGGGGCTGCTTCTCCCAAAATGGTTAGGACAAGTAACATTTCCTCTACGTGAGAGGATTTGGTGGCTGTGCCAGGCACAGAGAGGCAGTAAAGGGGGTCATTGGCAATGGCAGGAACTGGGCAGACCAGGGACGGTGAGCTCAGCCTGGCCTTCTCAGCCTTAGGGCCTATGGCTGTCAACAGCTTTCAGCATACAGGACAGAAAATATGAGGGCCTCAGTCAGGAGATATGCCTGAGGGATCTGTCTGCTTTCTGTTTTTAAAGGAGCCAGGGCCAGTTGTGGTGGCTCATGCCTGTAATCCCAACACTTTGGGAGGCTGAGGTGGGCAGATCACTTGAGGTCAGCAGTTCAAGACCAGCCTGGGCAACATGGTGAAACCCCGTCTCTACCAAAAAATACAAAAATTAGCTGGGTGTGGTCGTGTACCTGTAGTCCCAGCTACTGAGGAGGCTGAGGCAGGAGAATTGCTTGAACCAGGGAGGTGGTGGTTGCAGTGAGTCGAGATCACGCCACTGAACTCTAGCCTGGGCGAGACTCCATCTCAAAAAAAAAAAAAAAAGAGCCAAAATGGGAATCTGGAGAGTCCTGGAGGCCAGGAGAAAAACCAGGCATCCCCAGCATCTGCTGGTCAACCCCATTATCCCTGTTTGCCTGTATGACCTTCCTGCAAGTGTGTGATTGACTAGAGAGAACAGCCCAAATGGGAAAATATCCTCCCCTCTCCCATTCCTGCACCATCCAAGCCAACGTTTACCAAGATTGCAAATAGCAACTTGCCAGTAAGCCCAGGCTAATAACAAAAGTTTTGTCATCTGATGAGGATAATGAGGATAGAGGTGAAATAGAAGAGAGTGTGACTATTAGAAATCTCTAGTCCCCTGACAAATTTTAAATTTCCTTTTCCTTAAAACTTCCTGAGAGAGCACACCGCGGAAAGCAAACTGGAAAAAGTTGGGAAAGAAATGAGGAGGAAAGATGTTGGCTTATTTACTTTGTTTTTCTTACTGTTTTTTGTTTTAATACAGACAGAAATCAAATGTTCAGGCATCAAAGAAGTGAAATTGACTCAGGGCATCTGCCTGGAGCAAAATGAGACCTCCAGCTGTGTAAGTCAACTCCCCATCCAACCTCTTCCTCCCGCCCCCTGTCCCCTTCCTCAATCCCTTCTGAACACCCTTAAACCTTCTTGGATTGCACTGGATTTGAGTAGGGGTCTGGGGAGTTTAGCTTGGTCAACCTGCTTTCAATACCCAGCTTTCTGTTTAGGAAGTAAGAGGCCCCATCTGGTGGGCAAAAGAGGCAAAAACAGTTTTAATTATTAATAAATTTTGTTATTTTCTCCTCCTCTATAGTACTTTTTCCCACTCCTCTATAGCACTTTTTAAATTTTCTCCTTCTCTATAGTACTTTTAAATCTGAGAGAGTCAGATTTAAGTTGCTTTTTGGTTAAGAAAGTCCCTCTCACTCACCAGATATAAACTAGTCACCTAAAATGTCAGTTCATTTGTTATTATTAAATATTTACATGTAACTCTTTAATCCATACAGAATTTATTTTGCTGTAATGTTACATTTTCCATGTAACCATTTTTCCTAACATTATTTGTTGAATGACTCCCTCTTCTGTTGCATAGGATGTATCCTTTAGCTTATATTAAGTTTTTATATGTCTTAGGGCATACTCTTCAGACATATTTTATTTGTTCAGTTTGTCTATACTTTTGCCTATTTTAAATTTTCAAAATTATTGTTTGTTTTTGCTATAGTGTTTTTAATATCCAGTCAGGCAGATCTTTTTTTATTACACTGTAAAAACTGTGAAGTATTTTTTCTTTTAGGAAAAAAATGCAAAAAAAAATGCTTTAAAATTTGAATTGTAACTGCTCTGGAATTTCTTCATTTTTTCTGGTTTCCTTTTGCCTCTCTCAGCATCTTGTTTCTTTAGCTTTATTTTTTCTCTAGATTTGATGGATTTCATAGGTCTATTTGTCACATAAATCTCCCATTATATATTCAAATTGATTGTCACTGATAGATTAGAAAGTTAATAGAGTTTTGAATAATTATTTTTGGGTTGGCCAGTTTCTTGAATTTGCCTATCGATTCTAGGAACTTTTTAGTTGATTCCTTTCAATTTTAAGGTGAGCTATCTTGTTATCTACCACAATATATTGTTTTTCTCCTCCTGTTTAGTAGTTATGCCTCTTGTTTCAGTTTCATGTCTTACTGCATTGGAAAGAATGTAGAGGGCATTGTGTTAATTTACATGATTCTGGCAGACCTTGCTTTGTTTCAGTAAATCTAATTTCCTAAGAGTAACATGGCTCTGGAGGAAGGACGAGGTGAAGGAGAGTGGTATTTACTTACACAAGAAAACATTTTCTTATGAGTTGGGGATCCATTTAAGGGAATCACATATGTGATGTGTTGGCACGCATAGATTGGAGAGATCGCAGTCTGTAGAGGGCATAAATTACTTATTTTTTCCATTCGAACTCGGTGGTTTTACTACAATCATCAGTTGGGTCTCTCAGACTTACAAATTTGTAAAAATTATACCTGAAAGAATTTAACTTAGGACATCTAAAAGCAACCGAAATAGTGATGACATAAGTTTGCATACTGGAATAACTAAATGCAGTCTGCAAAATAGTTAACTTAAACGTAAACATACAATGTACAAGTAACATGCAGTGTGCTTCTGATGCTGATTTTCAACTCAACTCATTAGAAAAAAAATTATCAAGTTCTTTGCTGATCGTAGCCAAGGAAAATGACAATCTTTCCCCCTGCAACTCCATCGACTTGGTGGAGCATACGTTTTGCTGTGTATCACACAGGTATGTGCCAGAATGCTAATTCTTTGTGCCTGGAATTTAGAGTTAACTGCAGAGCCTTTGCCTTTCTGTTGCTCTTCAAAGTTCACATGTAACTTGGGTCACTGTATGAGAAACGTGCCAGAAACTTACTGCTCTTTTAGAAGTAATTCCTCTTAACTCTGCTGTGGTCTTTGCTGTCCGGCCTACTTCGTGCCACGGCTGAGAAGGTCTCTGCATGTTCCTCTAAGATTCAGGTAGGATCTGTGAGTGGTGATGTGAAAAGAGAGCAGCTCCCCTCCAGTTCCTATGCTAAAGAAGACTTCCATCCACACTGCCCCTTCATGAAGCAACTCAGTGGCAGCTCATATGAGTGCTTTTGTTTCCCTGATCTTTCCACCAGTGTTGATCCCCTTTCTTCCTGAGGGCTCCTCATCCTCAGCCCCCATGTGGCAATGCCTTCTCCTACTCTCCAAGGTAATTTATCCTCAGCCAACTATCCTGTTCCAAAATGTTTATCCGAGACGCCCTTTCCTTCGGCCCTACTACCTGTTTGTCTGATAAACAGTCTGTTTCAAAAGCTGCGAGTGTTGCAGGTCCTCCTAATTTTCCTTAGGTTGGATTTGTACTTTCAGTGTCAGAGGGCCTTAAGGTATTGGTTCTAACGTTGGGAGCCTCAGGCCCTACGTAATATTCTCGTGAAGAGCAGGAAGGATTTGGTTTCCCCGAGCATCACATCCTTGATGTATGTTGGTATTCTCCTGCATCTGATATATGCCCATAACAGGAATATGTGTGCATGAGTCTAGCTATCCAGACACTCGTTCTGCACTGATACATAGTGAGTGCCAATATGTTAGCTCACCCTATGTGAATTCTGTAGGTGTGTCTTCTGTATGTGCATTCTGTAGACTTGTCTATCTCATTCACTCTTTTTTTGCCCCCTAGCCGTCACCTCTAGGCAGCCAGGGGAAGGGAAGGTGATACCACTCTCATCTCAAACACCTGTTACCATATCTCAGCACCCTCATTAGCAGTGTGTCTTCCTAAGTCTAACTTTCATTCTTCTGGCAGCAGTGTCAGCTTAATTTAGTTTTTGTGGTTGTGGTTCCCCAAATAGTTTCCAAAATGTAAGATTACTTGATACTTTTATGCTACACCCATTTGTCCAGAGGAATCCACCAAAATATTTTTAATTGTGGTAAAATATACATAACATAAGTCATCACTTTAACCACTTTTAAGGGTACCATTGAGTAGCAGTAAGCACGTTCACATTATTGTACAACCAATCTCTAGAACTCCCTGCATGTTCCAAAACTGACACTGTATACCCATGAAACAACTCCCTGCTCTCCCCAGACCCTGGCAACTTTCTGTTCCTATGAATCTGGCTACTCTAGGTACCTCATATGAGTAGAATTATAGTGTTTGTCTTGCTGTGTGACTGGCCGATTTCACTCAGCATAATGTCTTTAAGGTCCAACCATGTTGTAGCACCTGTCAGAATTTCCTTCCTTTTTCAGGCTGAATAATATTCCATGGTATGCATAAACCTCGTTTTGTTTCTCCATTCATCTGTTGATGGACACTTGGGCTTTTTCCCCTTTAGGCTAATGTGGATAATACTGTTTTTAACGTAAGTATACAAATATCTTCTTGACACCCTGATTTGAGTCCTTTTGGGGATATATCCAAAAGTGAAATGGCTGGACCACATGGGAATTCTATTTTTGAATTTTTGAGGAACCACCAGACCATTTTACATTCCCACCAGTAGTGTACAAGGGTTCCAATTTCTTCTCATCCTCATCAACACATGTTATTTTCTGGGTTTTAAAATAGCAGCCATGCTAATGGGTATGAGGTGGCATCTCATGGTGGTTTTGATTTACATTTCCCCAATGATTAGTGATGTCGCGCCTCTTTCATGTGTTTATTGGTCATTTGTATATCTTCTTTGGGGAAAGGTCTAGTCAAGTCCTTTGTCCACCAATTTGTTCTTTAGAAATACCTATCTTTAGTACCATATCTGTTTATTTGCGGAGTTTGTAATTACTCAGCTAGCTCACTTTACTCCTATTCACATTGACTTCATCTGAGGCAGGCTGCCTCCAGCCTCCACTAAAGGTCAGTTTCCATGTGGAAAACGTAAGTTACAGATGAAGGATTTATGAAGGTGGTGTGTCTACTGGAAAAAGCCTGCGATCTGGAAGCAATCTCACTTCTCATCCTTGGTTAACTGCCTCCACTAGTTAGGTGACTTGAAACAGGTCCCTTCATTATTCCAGTTCCTATATGAAAATAGAGTTTTCACCTGCATTGTCAAACTCACACCAAAATAGATAAAATGATTTTAAAAGGGGTTGGGGGAGATGATTGATCCTAGAATCTCAGCATTGGAAAATATCTTAAAGGTCATTAAAAAAATACCTATCCTTCCCCCACCCCCATCCCCATCCCAATGCTTGACATTAAGAGTCTTTGCAAAGTTTGAGAATGCTACTCTAGAGAGGTTAGATGGGTTTATTATGTTTGCAAAGAAACATGTGTGAGCTGATGTAGTTAGGAGCTTGTAAATCTGATTCTCATGAACAGAATGGTGAGGCTGTGTCTTCCTCCTGCCCACTCTCCCGTGATGTTTGCCCACAGCCTCTCTTGGGGGAGGATGTTTATTCCAAGCGTCCGGAGAAGCATTGTGCTTTGTTCAGGATCCACCTGCTCCTCTTGGGGCTCAAACACAATTCACTGATGCGGTTGGATTCCAGAGTGGGAGGCTGGCCGCTATTATTCCTTTGAATCTAGTCCAAGAAACTGTGCAAGGGGTGGAGGGACCCTGTGTCAAAGCCAACTGGTTGGGATGTTAAGTTGAACAACAATTCCCTGAGTTCTTTTGTTTGCTGCTATGGTTTGTGCAGTCTGGGTTGTAAATGCTATAATGTACACTCCCCGCAACACACACACTTAGGAGTCTTACAGTCTAGTCAGAGAAAAATGATGATAACAATGCACAGAATGTGATCAATAAGTAGACTCTAGATGATATGATATATAAGGTATAACTATTATTAATAATGATAGTAGCAGCTGCCATTTATCTAGTGCCCACTAGATTCTCAACACCACATTGGACACTTTTTTTTTAGACAGAGTCTTGCTCTGTTGCCCAGGCTGGAGTGCAGAGTGTAGTGTTGTGATCTCAGTTCACTGCAACCTCTGTCTCCTGGATTTAAGCGATTCTTGTGCTTCAGCCTCCCGAGTAGCTGGGATTACAGATGCCCATCACCACGCCCAGCTAATTTTTGCATTTTTTAGAAGAGACAAAGTTTCACCATGTTGGCCAGGGTGGTCTCAAACCCCTGGCCTCATCTGATTTGTCCATCTTGGCCTCCCAAAGTGCTGGGATTACAGGCATGAGCCACCGCACCTGACTGGACACTTTCATACAATATCTCTTTAGTCACCACAACAACCCAGTGTATAGCTGAGGAACATGACAGTCAGACTAGTTGCATGACTTGCAAGGAATCCAGTAAAGAGCAGAGCAAGGATTGATGCCCAGTCTGGTTGAAGATAGGACCAGCTTCATTGAGGAGGTAGAAACTGAGTTGAGTCTTGAAGGATAGTGAATACCAGGGAGAAGGAAGTGTTCTTCATTCTCCTTGAAATGAAGGTTGTGGAACAATGCATGCTCTCCCCATCTTGGGCTTCCTGGAGGTGGTGCCTCGATTCCAAATGCTCTTCCCCACTGGCTTCCTCTGCTCACCCTCCAGCCATTCTTCAAGGCCTATAGTGAGATGTGTCTGCTAACCTTAACCAGACGTGTCCTCACCCTCCTGTGTATGTCCATAGCACTTTGGTTGTACCTTTCTTATGGTGCTTACCATGGTAGTAGCTCTGACCTCTAAAGTCTCTTCGCACCTCCATTTCTTCACCTACAAAATTAGCAGAATAGCTCTACCAATCTTGCAGGTCATGTGAGGCCTAAATGAGTTAATATATGGAAAGCACTCAGAACTGTGCCTAGATATCGTAGGCATCTGTTATTTTATTTTTTATTTCTTTATTTTTGAGCCCAGGTCTCTGTCACCCAGGCTGGAGTACAGTGGACTCAACCTCTCAGGGTAGAGAGACCCTCCCACCTCAGCCCCCCAAGTAGCTGGTATTATAAGTGCATGCCACCACCCCTGGTTTAATTTCTAAATTTTTTATAGAGATAGGGTTTCCCTGTGTTGCCCAGGCTGGCCTCGAATTCCTGGGCTGAAGTGATCCTCTCATCTCAGCCTCCCAAAGTGCTAGGATGGCAGGCATGAGTCACTGCGCCTGGCTGGCATCTGTTATTTTAATTGCCATACATGCAAACTGAAAGCTTTCACCGGGTGGAATTCATAGATATTTCCCAATCCCCACCCCCCTACACGTGACACATAAACACAATACACACATACATGACACATGCAGAGGTTTTCACACGGCATCCTATATTCAGGGCTTGATAAATTGTCAAGGTGTGGCTTCTTGCACTCAGCAGGTGTAGGAAGGTGCCATTCGGTTTGGCTAGTTTATGACCTGCAGGAGCCCTGTCCCTCTGTCTCTCTTGGGAAGCAGATCTATTTCAACTGGAGACACTTCAGAAGGCCAGAGTCATCCAGGCAAGAACCCCCCTCCTCCTCATCCAGACTCTTGGTGCTGGGGAGCAAGTGTGCTCAAGGGGAAGCCATGTAAGGCTCCCCTGAGAAAACTGGGTTTAGAGAGGTGGAGATTGTTGATTGGTTCAGTGTGGCATTCAGACTACTTAGTTCAAATGCTGTTCAGAAAAACAGATTTTTCCAGAGGCAGAGTGTCTATCAAGGACTTACTGGGAGACCTGCAGAATTGCTCCTTTTCCTGAGGAATGAAGCAGCAGTGGCCTGAGAACTCATTTCTCTGTAGTCTTGTTTCCTGGGGGTTTTTTGAGGCTCCAGTTCGGGCTCGTGTCTCTGTGACCTGGGGTTTGGCTAACCACACTCTCCTGGCTTTATCCAAGCCCAGTTATTTTCCCTCAGCTGCTTCAAATTCCAGCTGGGTCCTGAGGCCAATCTTGACCTTGCTTTGTGTAGGAGCAAAGGAGCCTGGGTTTTCCTGCCTTGGGTCACAGCAGTGGGAAAATACCCAGGCTCCATTCCAACTGGGAGGACCCTGTGGCCTTGTTGCAAGCAGCGGCCCTGCCCGCAAACAGGAAGCTTTCTTCTCCACAGAGACCCAGTTCTGATGATGGTCACACACCCCAGCAGTTTTCCCCTAACAGGAAAGTTGTCAGGACTGTTCAGGCATTTCCTTCTCTGCCATCTGCCATCCGGACTGAAGAGAAAGTCTTAGTTTCGATTCCTTTCCTGTTCAGGGGAGGAGGTGACTGATTGGAGGCTGCTGGAATAAATTCTGACTCACTGTTGAAGAATTATCAGAGTTTTTCTTCTGAGTCCGAGTTCCTGGGTCTGATGGCCCAGTCAGCAACCTCGAGAAAAATCTATGAACTTCATTAAAACTGGGTTCCATGCTTTCAATGGAAAAGCAGGGATGGAAGACCAGACAAAAATGCCATTTCAGTTTGAGCAATGCACTTCATGAGACTCTTTTGGGTAGTAAGAGGGAGGAGGCCACTGAGGTTTCCACTGAGTGTATATTATAGATTCATTCTCTACTCCTCACCTTCCTTGACTTTTCTTCCATCACTGGGGACTGGTGTAATCTTGAAACAGAATATTTTCTCTTAGTTTTTATTGTATTATTAATATTTTCTGTTGGTCATTTCCTTTGAGTTTAATTTGCATATGTGTACATGGGTGATGCTTCAATGAGACAATTTTTTTAAGTTTGTTTTCTGACATCTTAGATACTAGAAGATATGGATTTTCATCCTTGGAGATTATGTAGGTTTTTTTCTTATTGTGTTGTTGCACATATACAGTTAGCAGTATTTTTTTTTTCTGTTGGAATTTTAGAAAGAAGGATGCTTCTTGTGGATGGGGTAAGAGTGTGACTGTAATCGGAATTATTGCCTGAGACCCTGGGTGCAGTTTAGGGTAGAGCAGTAATTTCATCTCTTGCTCTCCATGTTTCTCTGTCTTCCCAGGTGGAGTTTAGGAAGGACAGGGGAGAGGACCTGGCCCGAGTGCTGTGTGGGGAGGAGCAGGCTGATGCTGATGCTGGGGCCCAGATATGCTCCCTGCTCCTTGCCCAGTCTGAGGTGAGGCCTCAGTGCCTACTACTGGTCTTGGCCAACAGAACAGGTAAGGTGTACCTCTGTCTGGGGGAACTGGGAGGGAGTAGGGCTGAGATTAGAGAATCCCAGGTGGAGATGTGGCATCCCAGATCCAGAGAGACCACAGGTGCTGGGGAGAAGGGCTTGGGTGACTTTGGGAGAGATCCCCCTGAAATGGACTACCCTGACCATCAGAGCATCTTGTAGAACAGGATGGGAGGGTGGAGCAGGATAAGCTGGTTTATCTTCTAGATTTAGAAACCCCTGTTTCTAATTCTAGAAATTTCCAGCAAACTCCAACTTATGAAAAAGCACCAGTCTGACCTGAGAAAGGTAAGTTCTCTGAGGTATGCGTCTCAGAGGGAATGCCGGGGCAGGGAGGGTCCCTGGAGTAAGAGGGGAAGCCATTACCTTCCCCAGTTCTACCTACCCTCCTTCTCTGAGTCTTCTCCTTTCTAGTCTCGAACCAAAAATGGTGGGGTGTGACTGAATTAAGAGATGTCAGTCTCAAATCCCATTTCAAAAATTCCTGAGGTCAATGCCCTCAAGCATCTGTTCACTGTTGAGTCACACACAGGGGGCTGGAGTGGGCTGGGCTCCACTTTTGGCAAGTGACAGGCTGTGTCTTATGTGTCTTCTTTTCAAGCTGGGGATCCTAGATTTCACTGAGCAAGATGTTGCAAGCCACCAGAGCTATTCCCGAAAGACCCTGATTGCGCTGGTCACCTCGGGAACCCTGCTGGCTATCTTGGGCATCACTGGCTATTTCCTGATGAATCGCCGCAGCTGGAGCCCCACAGGAGAAAGGCTGGTCAGTTCTGGGGGCCAGGGCAAAGGAAATGGGAAAGATAGTGAGTTTCCGGGGAGTTCAGTGGTTGTCATGGAGCAGGAGGAGAAGTACCAGAAAAAGTCCTCCTGTGAGCTTACATAAAGACATGCACGTGTGCACACACAGTAATCAGTGGAAGATTCAAAATATTATGTAGCAAACTGGGGAGGGGACAGTAATGGTGCCAGCCCACCTACTCAGTGTGGTAGCAGATGATTCATGTCATCTATTCATTATGTTTTCTGGGATAGCTCAGCTTGGTGCCACCAGAACAGCCTGTTAAATCAGCCACACTGTATTTGTAACCATGTTAAATGCCCAGTGGGTGCCCCTTTGCTCAAAAGGAGGCATATGGAAGGAAAATCTCCTTTTGCCATTCTAGATGAGGGAGGACAAGGCTGAGGTCTGAATCTTGGCCTCTGGCCTGTCCCCTACCCTGGGGAGGTCATCCCACCCTTCTTGGGACTGCCCGTTTTCCTGTGGGAGCTGGCTGCCAAGCTGCGGTGGCATGGTGTGGTGCCTCTCCTATGTCCTTTCTCCTCTAGGAGCTGGAACCCTGACCACTCTTCAGGAAGAAAGGAGTCTGCACATGCAGCTGCACCCTCCCTCCCATTCTCCCTCTCACCTCCCCCCACCTCCCGCCCCTGCCCCCACTTCCTGTTTGGGCCCCTCCCCCATCCAGTGTCTCACAGTCCTGCTTACCAGATAATGCTACTTTATTTATACACTGTCTAGGGCGAAGACCCTTATTACACGGAGAACGGTGGAGGCCAGGGCTATAGCTCAGGACCTGGGACCTCCCCTGAGGCTCAGGGAAAGGCCAGTGTGAACCGAGGGGCTCAGGAAAACGGGACCGGCCAGGCCACCTCCAGAAACGGCCATTCAGCAAGACAACACGTGGTGGCTGATACCGAATTGTGACTCGGCTAGGTGGGGCAAGGCTGGGCAGTGTCCAAGAGAGCACCCCTCTCTGCATCTGACCACATGCTGCCTCCATGCTGGAGGTGACATCTCTTACGCCCAACCCTTCCCCACTGCACACACCTCAGAGGCTGCTCTTGGGGCCCTACACCTTGAAGAGGGGCAGGTAAACTCCTGTCCTTTACACATTCGGCTCCCGGGAGCCAGACTCTGGTCTTCTTTGGGTAAACGTGTGACGGGGGAAAGCCAAGGTCTGGAGAAGCTCCCAGGAATGATTGATGGCCTTGCAGCACTCACACAGGACCCCCTTCCCCTTCCCCCCTCCTCTCTGCCTCATTACAGGAACCCCTAGGGGAAAGATGGGCTTTTCTAGGCTACAATTTTCTCCCAGGAAGCTTTGATTTTTACTGTTTCTTCCCTATATTTTCTTTCTCTACTTTGAGGAAACCAAAGTAACCCTTTGCACCTGCTCTCGTGTAATGATACAGCCAGAAAAACGTCTTGAACTACTTCCCTTATCTCTTCTCCAAGACACTGTGGACTTGGTCACCAGCTCCTCCCTTGTTCTCTAAGTTCCACTGAGCTCCATGTGCCCCCTCCACCATTTGCAGAGGCCTGCACAGTTTTCTGGCTGGAGCCTAGAACGGATCTCCCAAGTTTTAGGACAAACAGCTCAGTTCTAGTCTCTTTGGGGCCACACAGAAACTCTTTTTGGGCTCCTTTTTCTCCCTCTGAATCAAAGTAGACAGGATCATGGGACCGGGTCTTGGAGCTGAGCCTCTCACCTGTACTCTTCTGAACAATCCTCTTCCTCTGAGGCTGGGTCCTGGCCTTATCCTCTGATCTCCATGACTTCCTCCTCCCTCCTGCCGACTCCTGGGTTGAGGTGAGGCCTCAGTCCCCCAGAAGATGCTTTTCTGTCTCAGTCTCAGTCTGCCCAATCACCCGGAATTCGGAAGTCCTGAGTCCGTAGTTTTCCCTTCCATCATATCATCCTGCTCTTCTGCTTCCCTCACCCTGAGCCCCTTCATTGCTCTGCACCTCCATGTGGTCAGAGACCCAGATCAGCTCCTAACCCTTATCACCAGCTGCCTCTTCTGTGGGTGACCCAGGTCCTTGTTTGCTGTTGATTTCTTTCCAGAGGGGCTGAGCAGGGATCCTGATTTCAATGACGGTTGGAAATAGGACTTTCCAGAGAAGAGAGGATTGGGTAGATATTTTTTCTGAATACAAAGTGATGTGTTTAAATACTGCAATTAAAGTGATTCTGAAACACATCTGTTATGTGACTCTGTCTTAGCTGGGTGTGTCTGAATGCAAGAGCAACACCCTCCACTAGACCTAGCTAGACTATGCAGTGATGTGGTGGGGAGGACTAGCGTGGGAAAAGGGTGGAGCACCTCAGCAGACACAGGCACCAGCCCGGATACTAAGGACCTTTAGCCAAATCTGCCAACTATTCTCCTCCATGGGAAGAGGAAACACCCATTTCCAGTGGTAGAAAGGCAGACCCAAATGTACCAGGGAGCTTCCAAATGGAGGGTGGTATGCTAGGGTCTTAGGAGCTATACCCTTCATGAACATCATTCTGAGAAGAGGAACATGCTGATCACTGCTGCAAAATATGCAAAACAAAGGGAAGGGGCAATGTCCTGTGCATCCTCTATTAACAGGCCACCCCCGCTCCTCGGCTTCCCAGGTCACAGCAGACACAGTGAAGGTCTATGTGGGGATTGTGGTTCTAGAGACCTGACAGTCAACTCAGGGAGGGAGCTGGTTTCCGCCCTCAATATTAAGACAGCAGCCTTAAAAAAAAAAAAATCTGTAAGCATGTGCCTCCCCCTAGCTTCCAGAACAACCCCCGCCCAATCCCTACCGGGGGAAGTTGGGGAGGGAGTGCTGAGGAGCTCCATGAAACACTCCCAAGTGTGTCAACAGTGGCAGAGGCAGTTGGGACCAAACAAAGGTTGATTCTTCCATTCTTATCTCCACAAAACCAGATCTTTCCCTTCAGCACTCCTCCACCCCCATCTCCTTCTTGCTTTTCTCCAACTTCTCTAACCATAGGTTCCTCTCCAGGACTCAGGGGAGGTGAAATGATGAGGTTTAGAGTCTTCCCTTGAAGGCGATGGCTACCTTGAGGATTGGAGCAAAGGACGATGGTAATCAGTAGGGAAGTCCAACCGGCCTGCATCTAGTTGCACATCTTGCCTTGAGAGTGATCCAGTGAGGATCTGTCCCAGCTAGGTCATCAGGTAGGAGGGGTGCGTTCAGGGTTCAGATTCGTAGGAAACATGGGAGGAGAGGAAAAGGCAACTTGCAACCACCTCCAGCCTCAGGCCTAGCAACCTGCAATGCATTTCACCGTTTGTTGGAATGTGAATGTAGGCTTTGGGAGGAAGGGGTTTGTGTGTATTGTGGGGTGGGGTGCAGCAACTGGTTCCTTCTGACGGCTGGACAGCTTGCCCTGAAGAATTTGCCTGCCTTCTGGAAAAACCCAACTTTCCCACCCTGGGCCTGAGCATCCTGATACAGCAATGGCGCCACCTGCTGGCCTTATTGAGGTCCTACTGCTCAGCCTCAGCTCAATCGCCTCCATGTTGAGCTTCTCTCCCTGGCCGCCCCATCCTCTAGTCCAATTTCTCTTGTACACAAAGCTCATATAACTATAGAAGGTCACTGTTGAAGAGGACTTTAAAGATACATTTAATTAAACTCCCTTATGGTATAAAGACAAACTAAGGCTCAGAGAAGGGAGGTGGCTTGCCCAATCACTCAGAATTCAGAAGTCCTCAATCTGTAGTTTTCCCTTCTATCATATCCTACTCTTCTGCCGAGTCCTCCGGGTTCCTGCAGTTGGATGTCATGAAGCCAGTGTGGCAGTGTGAAGATAGGTTTGGGACTTCACTTCTGGAGCATTTCATCAACATAAGCTATCGTAGGCCTGGCCAGCCAAACAGGTCCTGGAGGAGCCCCGGAACAAAAAGATCACAGGAGGCCATGAGGTTCGGCTTCCTCGGTGTCCACAGTGAACCCAGGAAAATTAGCTGCAGGGTATTACACTGTTCACTATGGAGATAATTCACCTGGAATTATCTTCAGCCAGATTTTCATCTGAATGGATAAATGGGAATACCATCTAAATCCAGATAAATAGATCACTTCCATCTCATCCCCTCTAGGTAGATTAATCCCACATTTCCTCTTCACACAAAACCAGTAATTTCATCGATTTTGCGCAACAGAATGCTGCTTCTCTTCCTAAAGCCCCCATCGAAGAAGCTCCCAGCCACCATTCAATCATTCATCAAGTCTTATGATGTGCCAGATACAGTGCCACATGTGCCAGAACATCTATTATGTGCCAGACACTGTTCTTGAGACTGGGGATAGAGCAAACACTCATGAAGCTTATAATTCTAGCAGAAGAGGACAGTAAACAATGTCATCTCAGTAAGTATATACGTGTGTTTTCAGGTCATATTGAGAGCTACGAAAAATATAAAATACATTGAGAATAAAGGTTGGTATTTTACATATGGTGGTTACTTTCAGAAAAATAACAGTGGAGAGCACAGGTTCGCTTGAATGAAGTGGAGAAGCAGGTTGTATGCCAAGCTGGGAGAGATTATCCCACACTGGGGAAAGGACAAGTGCAAAGCCCTATGATGAAAAGCCGCCAAGTGCAGAAAGCCTCATATGACAGGGGGCAAGATGGCCATGAGGTTGTGTCAGTGAGTGGGGGGGTGGGGAGACACAGGAGGTCAGACTTATGGGGCCTTTTAGTTGTAGATTGGGAAGCCACTGGAGGGTCTTGAGCAGAAGAGTCATATGATCTGCTTTATGTTTTAAAAGGATCATGCTGGCTGCTGAGTAGAGAATAGAGGTTGAGGGATAAGAAAGTAAAAGAGACCATAGCAAGAAGAATGATCATGGCTGGAAGCAGGTAATCATATTGGCAGTGATGAGATCAGGCAGAATTCAAAGAGTGTTTTGAAGGTAGAGGTAACAGGACTTGCTCAGTCCATTTATTTCTTCAAATAATAATCACACTAACAATGATAGTAGTTAACATTTTTGAGTGCTTACTGTATGAAAATTGAGACACGGTGCCAATATTTAAATAGCATATTTTACTTAATATTCACAGAAACCCTGTGAAGTATGTTCTGTAATCTCAGAAAAAGAAACTGAAACTCAGAGAAAAACAAGGGACTGTGCTGGGTGCACAGTGGCAGAGGCAAAGATGAATAGGATGTGAGTTTATTTGAACCCCAAATGTTTAAACCTTGGGGATAATACAACACACATTTAAACAAACAAGCAAGAAAAAAAATGCATAGCAGAAAGTGAGAAATAACTTGAGGAAAGACTAGATGAGGTGCTGTTATCTAGACGTGGACAGGACTCTTTCCAGCTGGGAAGATCTGAGACTGGGTCATGAACAGGTGGTTTCTTGAGTGGGTCCTGTAAAAATGAATATGATTTTGATGGCAGTAATGAGTAAGGACATTTGAGACTGATAGAAGAGTGCATACAATATGTAGTGATGGGGAAAGATAAGGTACTGTCAAAGGACAATGTGTTTTCTGGTATGTCAGAGAAGTAGAATGTGTTAAGGGAAGCTGAGCACCAGAAAGATCCGGGTGTCACAGTTTGTGTAGGATGTTTAAAGCTAAACCACAGAGTTTAATTTTATCCAATAGAAGAGAACCCACAGAAGAGTTTCCATTTATTCATCAATTTATTCATTTATTCAAAAAATATTTCTTGAGTGCTTATTATAAGCCAGGTACTGTGCCAGGCACCTGGGATAAGACACAGTCCCTTCTGTCAAGTCTTTACATTGAGTGGATGTAGGAGGGACAGATGACAGAACAATATGCATTGAGTGTAAGCACTATGGTATAGGAAGCTCTGAATGGGAGGGGCGTGGAAGCCATGGAAGATCATGGAAGGCTTCCCAGGAGAAGTGACGTCTGGACTGATCCTTTGGTCAAGCAGGAGTTAAAGAGGAGAAAAGGAGAGAGATGGGTGTTCCAGAGAGAAGAAGGAGCCTTGTCCCAGGAGCAAAGTGAGGGTGATTATTCCAGAAATGTGAGTGATTCTTTTAAGGCTCAAGCAAAGCATATGATTCTTCTTAATACTTTCTATTTCTTTGCTGAGTCTTTCTGTTCTTTTGTTTCAAGCATGCTGCAGTTGCTCATTAAAGCATTTTTATGATGCCTGTCCGTTTTAAAATTCTTGTCAGACCGTTTCAACACCTTTATCGTCTCAATGTTGGCATCTGTTCATGGTTTTTTCTCAATCAAATTGAGATTTTCCTGGTTCTTGGTATTACCAGTGATTTTAATTGCATCTGGAAATTTGGGATTTATGTTGAAAGACTGGATCTTATTTAAAGATTCTGTTTAGCACGCTTCCTTTGATACCACACTGGTGGGTCCAGGTTCCCCATTCAGCTGTTGACACTTGCAGGACAGAGGGGTGGGATGGGGTGAAGTGGGTACCTCATTATTGCTGGGCTAGGGTAGAAGTTCAGGCTTCCCAGTAGATATCTGCTGATACCACCCTGGTGCCATGTCATTCCTTGAGTCCAAAAGTCTCCCCATTTCTGCCTTCTTCTTTCTGCCTATCAGAGTCTCCCTATGTTTGACTCATATATAATGTCCAGGGTTTTCAGAGGTACTTAACAGGAGGTGTAAGAAAAAGTGTGCCCACTCCATCTTGTCTGGAACTGGAAGTTCAAGTCAAAAATAAGAGAGAGGACAGGAAATCACAAGCCATGAGACTGGAGAGTTAGGCAGGTTCTACACCAGTTATTCTCAAAGCCCTCTTACACTCTTAAAAATTTAGAACTTCAAAGAGCTTTTGATTTTGAAGGTTATATCTATCAATAATTACTATTTCAAAAATTAAAATTGAGAAAATTTTAAATTATTTATTAATTTGTTTAAAAATAACAATAACCATTCCATTACATGATAATGTAAGTAATGCTTTTCTTAATGAAAATTAATTATATTTTCCAAAACAAAAACAATTAGGAAAAAGAGTGTCATTGTTTTAGATTTTGGTAAATCTCTCTAATATCTGGCTGATGGGAAGAATGCTGATTCTTTTGTTTGCTTCATATTCAATCTGTTGTGATATTATACAACGGGTAGCCTCTGAAACATTCCACTATATGCTTGTGAGAGAATGAATGTGAAAAAGGAAAATAGATTTTTAGTATTATTATGAAAATAGTTTTGACCGCAGAGACCACTTGGAAATG